TTAACTTCTTACCTACCACTACCTGGGGTCAGTCATTCCACTTTAAGAACCAACCAGAAATAAAATTTTAATAACGCACCACCAAATAATTTTATAAATAACTGGCTTTAGATAAATTTTGCATTTAAAACAAGCAGAACTTCTGTTGTTATCTTTGCAAAGATTTAATGTAGTTCCTATTATATACTTTTTTAAAGGGATCTAATCATTGCAAAAGTTGATAAAATCTTTATTTTCCAGATGGCTAATCTGAGATATAAGAAAGAAAGTTACCAAGATCATGAAGTTTATCACACTAACCCACTGTCAACCTTCACCCTTAGAGCCCCTTCCACCAAGCATTCCCACTTGCCCTATTCTTCACCCAGGGCCTCCACTGACTTGAGTAGTAGTGAACTTTAATATAGTACTGAAACCCCCTTTGCCCCCAGAGACATTCAGGTGAAAATCACCTCTAGCCCAGTTTTACATGGTACCTTTAAGTGGTAATTCTTCACTTTCTCAACACGTGCAGGAGGTAAAAATTTGAACGGTACCAAAGGGTATAGTGTACAGATAATCCTCCTTCCCTCTCCTAACCTCTGGTGTCCTAACTCTCCTTCCCAGAAACAATCAGTTATCTGTTTCTTAAGCAACTTCTAAACAGTCTGTGTGTATATAACACACATAGATAAAATTTATAATTATTTTGATCTTTAAATTGCAAAAGCCCACACAGAATTCCCAGAAATGTAATTTGCACAAAATCTTACAGGAATGCAACATAAGTGTTGGAAATGTCCAACATCCAGGCAAGTTTAGGGAAAGAGGCAAGGATTCTCACAATGATATCAAATCCTGACAGACATACTCCTCATTTTCAGATCTGCCATCTTTTCCGAACCTACTTTTAGCCTGTATCCAATCTTGAAGCAACAGCTTTCCTAAAAGTACTACTCTCTGAATTAAAAAAAATAATTTATCGGGGGCCGGCCCGGTGGCGCACTGCTACAGTGCGCCGCTTGGGAGCGCGGCGGCACTCCTGCCGAGGGTTCGGATCCCACATACAGACCGGTTCCCGCTCACTGGCTGAGCGAGGTGTGGGCACAACGCCGAGGGTTGCGATCCCATTGCCGGTCCCGGTCCGGTCCGGGCGCGACACTGAGGGTTGTGATCTGTTGCCGGACACGAAAAAAGACAAAAAATAAATAAATAAATAATAATAATAATAATTTATCATCTGTATAGAAACTACTCTTTACACTTCAAGAGGCAGCACAGAGCTTTGGTAATTCTGGATCTAAGGAGCAAGTCTGTATTCATTCTATCCATATGTTTCATTATTCTGTAGACTTCAAACCTGTCTCCTCTAAGCATTTGTCCTTCTGGACCAAGAAGTCTTTGTAACTAACCAAATGAGAAAAACATTGCTCCCAATGGCTCACAGAAGACAACTGAGAAACATTATAATGCCAGCCTTGGGCAACCTGAACATTCAATATTTTTAAAATCAGAATTGTGACAAGTTTGCTAAAACAGGGCTTTAGCAATCATGCATGTGGTAACTAAATCCCTATTCAGAGCAACGACAGTGATCATGCTAGGAAGGCTTGGTGGCTGTCACTGTCAACCTTAGCTGCTTTCAAATCAGCAGTTTCTGTATCCCACTCATTCTCTCCCCACCTCTTACTCAGTTTTTCTCTTTAAGTCATGATTCTTCATTCATCCAACATTATGGGCAAGAACTCAGGCTTTGGAGGCAGGCAGATCTGGGCTTGAATCCTGATCCAGTCACTAACTGGCTGTGGAATCTGAGCCAAGTTGTTTAAACTCATGAACCCTCAGTTTCCTCACATGTAAACTGAGAATAATAAAAATGGCTCGCTCGTTGGATCATTAGAAGGGTTAAATGGTATAATTTTTGTAAAGCACTTAAACACAATGTCTTTCAGCAGGACCAGATACATAATCTGTGGGACCCAATGAAAAATGAAAATATAGGTCCCCCTATTCAAAAATTATTAAGAATTTCAAGATGGCAACAATAAAGTCTCAAACCAAGCGTGGGGCCTATGGGGCTGCCCAGGTGGCGGGCCCATGCAGCTGGCCCTCCCTTCAGATAATTAACACCCAGTAGATGGTAGCTCTCATCATCTTTCCCAACTTACACCTGCACCCTCCTCCCCAGAGGCTTTCCTCTCCCTCTACAATGCCCAATCCACTTGACTTGGAAAGTTTCACTGGGTCATTCCAAAAATAGGCACTGGTGTCTCAGAAGTAACCTGCATTTATAAGAAAAATAACTCACCAAAAAGGGGGAATCTAAAACAGGAGATGATGTTACCACAGGCTCATGCCCAGCACGGTCCTACCTGAGGGCTTTGCTCTGACTTTTCACCCTGCTGTCACTCTCTCTTCCTCAAGTCTTTGTTCAGATCCATTTTCTATGGGAGGCTTAGTCTGATCACTCAATTCAATACCATATTTTGCCCTTCCTCCATCCTGTATTCTCTATTCCCCTTACTCTGTTCTACTACTTTTTTCCATAGCACTTATACTGTCTAACATACTACACAGATTACGTATGTCTTTATTATGTCTATCATTTATTGTTTATCTTCTCCTCTGCACACACACACACAAACACACACACACAGAATGTACGCTTCTCAAGGTTAGGAATTTTTGTCTGCTTTTCTTCATTGATGCAGCCCAAGTACTTTGAATAGTGTTTGGCACATAGAAGATACTCAAAAAATATTAACTAAAAAAACAAATATATCTTTGAATATATGCATAATCAGGCCATCCTTTTTCTCCATAGAGATTCAGCTGGAGATCAGGCCATCCTACATTAGGACGAAGGGCAATAATAACCAGCTCTGCAACTGGACACCCAACAGAGTTCAAGAAACAGATGGGCAAGTTACCTATTTTCAAATCTCTACGAAACCCCCCTTAGCCTGGAAAGAATATAATTCAATAGTCTGTGCTATTAAACCCAATACCTCTCTCAATGCTAATTCATATGCACGGTTTGTTGCAGCAATGATGAGCAGCACTGTCCGTGAGTGAGCTGTTCAGAAGGGAGGCACATCCCTAAATGGGGGACATAACAGTCATTTTTAAAAGTGAAGATGATGGGCCAGCCCGTGGCTCACTTGGAAGAGTGTGGTGCTGATAACACCAAAGCCACAGGTTCGGATCCCTATATAGGGATGGCCGATTAGCTCACTTGGGAGAGCGTGGTGCTGACAACACCAAGTCAAGGGTTAAGATCCCCTTACCACTCATCTTTAAAAAAAAAAAAGTAAAAAATAAATAAAAGTGAAGATGAGAAGAAAAATAATCACACAATACTGTTCTCTCACAATGACATAGAAAAACTGAGCTGTTAATATTAAAAGGAATATAAGGTCTCTACCTCTGAAACTGTGCATAAAGCTCAGTCCAAGCTGTTCTTCCTGGAGTTAATGTCACAGTCACAGGTAGCATCTCAAACCCTAGCCTGTGATCTCACAATTGCAAGCCACAGGGCCCAGGAACGGCAGTGTGGATACCCTGTGTATAATTCATCCCATCAGCTGAAACACAACCCCAAAGCTGCAGCATTACAGATGCTGGATGAGACATTTTTTACAGTAGGAGAACTGTGCATTTAAGAACAATAGAGAAGAGCTACCCTTCCGCAAATGATTAAAATGTAGCCGTGTCAGTAGAAGTATCTGGAATACCCAATAATCAGAAGATAGTTGAGGGCCAACATGCTCCAAGTTCTCTACTGAGGACAGGAAGCACATCTGGGCCCCCAATCCAAACGCAGCCCACATGGTCTCCTCGGCACATGCTTGGTGACCAAAGCCCAGAAGATCACGCTGAACATCTGGCTTTTGCCCCAGCATAAACCACCACTCCCTCTTAGCCCTCCACTACGCACTTTTTAAGCAAGCTGTTCTCAGCCACCACAATGCTTTGGTGGGAATCAACAGGGAGGCCCTTACCCCTTTTCCCAAAATAACATCAGCCAAAGGCAAAGGCCAAAGAGGCCATTTTGCAAAAGTTTCAAATATCCTAGTATTGACCCCTGTTAAAAGAAAGAACTGCAGGGTGGAAGCGGCCAGGCCTCTTGTTTTCCCATTAGTCTCAGTCTCTCTCTCTCTCTCTCTCTCTCTCTCTCTCTCTCTCTCTCTCTCTCTCTCTCTCATTACAAACTTCTACATGTATAAGAAAAAAAAACAGAGATCTTCCACAAAGTCACATTATTAGTGATAACTGTTGGAAACAAAATTTCATTTTGCCAATTTAATACTAGAAAGTTGAAACTGAAAACTGGAAATGTGCATGCTCTGTGACAGTTTAATCCCCAAAGAAGTCTCTGAAGCATAAGACTGAACAAGGAATGAGTGAGCTGTCCCACCTTCCCAAAAAGCCTTTCTGAAATATGCAACTGCCTCAGATTTTCCATGCTCCTCTGCTGGTCTTTCCTCTGCAGAGGGAGGAAGCTTCGTGGCTGTGCAGTTTAACAAGCCAAATAAAGCAGCCTTCCCCCTAACGTGGAGGGGCCTTTAACACACACAGTACTTTTTAAAAATAAATAAGAAAGTAAAGGAAGAGAGAAAATGAGACAGATGGAAAGAAAATCCTACTTTATCTTGTCCAGTTTTTAAAAACCTTCCCACAAAAATCAAAATCAAAGTAGGTGGAGGCACATTATTCTCAAAACACATAGCCCTTCCCCCGCAGTACAATACGGTTAGCGATAGAAAATGGTATTACAGATGTGGAAAAGCCTGGGGAGGGGTGGACAAGAGGGAGTGTCAATTGCTAAAGGCATACCAAGTGTCATTACTCTTAGGAAAAGTTTAAAAGGGCCAGCTGCCCATCTTCATCTGTTCAGACAGAAGAACCACCGCTCTCCCCAGACCTCCCGTGCCCCTTCCCAGCTCCCGGGTCACCAGCTGTTCCTCCGACGACAGCACTCCCCGCTCGTCGCCAGCCCGCCCCCGCCCCCGAGTCCTCACCGTGTGGTACATGAGGGCCTCGGTGTCCCCGGGCTCTGACAGCTCGCTCAGCTTGCGGTCCCACTGCAGGACGCTCTGCTCCCCGCTCTCCAGCACCTCCATGGTGGTCCGAGCGGAGCTGGGTCGAGGATGCTGAGGGCACGAGGGGACCGGGCCGAGCCGCCGCGCTCTCTGCGAGCGTGTGCGGGGGACTTATGCACTTAGGAGGAAAACGCCCGCTCCTCTGCCCGTGTCCTCGGAGATCTGAGAATCCCCGGGGGAACCGAAGGCTGCGGGGGTCAACGAGGGATGTGCAACCAAACTGAAGAAGGCAGGAGATGAGCTCTCGCCTCGGGAAAATCCCTTCGCAGGAAGCCTACTGCCCACCCCTGCTCCACACACAAACTTTGAGACTCCCCAGGGCTCCTCCGCTCGGCTCCAGGACCCAGCTGCGACCCCACGCCCCCTCCGGGGAAGTGACCAATCGGATACCCGCCTCGCCCGCCGGACCCAATCAAAAGTCTTGCTCTCCGCCCTGTCCCGCCCACAAAGTCAGGGGCAGCGGGAAGTCTCCGCCCCGGCTTTGGAATGTGGGCAAGGAATACCTTTGACGTCACCAGGGAACTCCTCCTGCCCGAGCCCGGCCAGCGGCCGGCTGTGTGCTACAACGGACCAATGGAGGGCTTGGGTCCGGAAGTGATGAACTGCGGGCTCGGCCAATGAGAAAGGGGCATCTGGGAGGGACAGCCAATCAAATAGCGACAAGAATACATTCTATGAAAGAGGTGGGGCGAGCTCAATCCCTCTCGCTGAGAATCCCCAGAAATTAGCCAGGACGCTGAGACGTGAAGAGAAAGTGGCTGCGAGGCAGGATTTCGCTAGACAGACCGGACAGACGGAAATACTGTCCAAAACATTTTCAAGTCGCTTTGCTCGTTTCAGTTTCTAGGGATTTTTTTTTAAATGAGCTACGTATTATACACAAGTATAAATATCCTCCTGCGCATTTGTTTGTATTAGGGCGGTTCTAGCAAATTGCCACCGTTCTTCACATTTTCCGCGCTTTTTCTGTGACGCTCTTCTGACATGTTTTTTATGGGCTCGACTTCTATTGCTTCTTTCATTTACTCAGCAGACGTTATAGGGAGAGCCAATGACAAGCTTTTCCAGGTTTTGGAGAAGAGAGCTAAGTCCCTGAATTCACAGAGCGTTTATCCCAGTGGGAGTCAGGCGATCCACAGATGAGGAAATAAACGCTTAATACAATTTCGGGAAATGGTAATTGCTGCAAAGAAAAATACAAGCAGAATCAGAGGAGGGGGCGGGTCGATGCTGTTTTAGACATTGCTTGGGGAAGTTCTTTCTGGGAAGGTGACATTTGAGCACGACCCCCAGTGAATTGAGATTTAGGGAGCAGCCTGTGTTTGGGTCACTGACAGGAGGCCAGTGTGGCTGCTGAGTGATGCGAGAGGCCCGAGGGATGGGCAGGAGCCAGAGCACCAGGCCTGCCTACCTTAGGGAAGAGATGGCCTACTCTATAGTAATCTCCTCCAACACTGTGATTTTTCTTCCTCCTTTCTGATTCCTCCTTTTAAGGAAACATTCCTTGAAAATATAGTTTGCCCATCTTAAATATAAAAGAGTCTGCCAATTAGCTCTAGAAGTTTCTTACAATGGCACATTCAGTTATTAGGTATTGTTTTGTCCCCTTGGCAAGTATTTTTTGGTAGTTGGGGACAGTCAAATGTCTTAGAACTCTATGTTGTCTGTAAGCAGCAAGTTTATCATAGAAACTATTCCATTTAGTCCTGTCTCTAGGGGTCTTTGGGGATTATTTTAATGCTTAAATAGAAACTGTAGTTTATGAGCACACACATTTCTTATAAAGTGTAATAGTGTTCTCATTTTTCTCTTAGGTCTTTGGTTTTTTTCTAACCTACTACTTTCTCCACCACATCCTTTTCATAGATCACCCTTTCAATTGTTAAAAACCTTTCCTATCTTTTTAAACACAGCATTCAACATGAATAAGTGAAGTTAGAAACATGTATATCCTTATTACTACAGGAATATAAACACCTGTCTGTTTCAGCTTTTGACAGTCCGATCCTGGTTATGCCCCATGTAGTAAGCAACTTCTAAAATGGTCTCCAATGATCTCACTTCCTGGCGTTCACGCCCTTGTCTAATTCCCTCCTCTTGAGTGTAGGCTAGACTTGGGGACTTCCTTCTAACAAATAGAATATGGCAAAAGTGACAGGATGTAAGATTCTTGCTCCTGACTTACTTGTTCTCTCTTCCTCGCCTGCTTGCTTGCTCTGAGGTAAGCCAGCTGCCATGTTGTGATCTGTCCTATGGAGAGGTTAGTGTAGCAAGGAACTGAGGAAGGTGTCCAGCCAACAACCATTGAGGAACTGAGGCCCTCACTCCAGCACCCATGAGCAAACCTGATCCTGCTAATAACCTTGTAAGAGAACGTGGAAATGGATCCTATCCCAGGTGAGCCATGAGATCACCACAGCCCTGGCCAACACCTTGACTGCAGCCTTGTGAGAGACCCCGAGCCAGAGGACTCAGCTAAGCCCCACTCAGATTCCTGACTGCCGACACTGTGAGGACTGTAAGGTAATAAATGAACCTTGTTTTAAGTCACTAAGTTTTTCCTTAATAAAATAAATAATATGATCATTAGCACCCTAAATGGCTTGGTTAAATTTATCTGGACTCTAATAATAATGTCATAGTCCCCCATGGTGAGTTTCTTCAGCCTCCTTTGTTTCGTGTATCCTTCTGTTAAATGTAAGCAAGACTTCTCAGAGCCCACCTTCCTGTTTTACACCTTGAATACTAAAGTCTTTCCCTTTCCCTCCTAAAACTTAGCAATTTAGTTGACCCTTTTTCCAGCTTCTCTGGCATCTTTTAAGAAGCAATGGCACTTGCTCCCCTGTCTGATATTAATAGATTCATGGCACCTGCATGATTGGAAGTCAAACTTTTCCAAAACCAAAGTCAGATACACGAGCCAACAAGATATTTTACCGATTTTTTCCTCATATATTTGCTATCTTTCTATGTGCCAATCTATTTACCAATTTCCTCTACATGCTTCCTATACCTTCATTTCTATTATTAAGATAAATTGTATCCAGATTGGGCACTTGACAGATCTCCACCTTATGAAAATAGAATCCACCTTCCAAGTTGACATGACCCCATTCATCAGCATGCTTTTGATTTGTCTATTTAGCAAATATTAATCTACTGAATTTTCCTCTTCATGTCCTATGATTTTTTTCAGTTTATCCACAAGGATTTGTTAAGTACCTGATAAATTCCAGACACCACTGTGTTTACATTTTTCCAGGTATAAGACTCTCTTAAAGAAAGAAGTAGAGTTCTGCCGCTCACCATTTTTTCTAGGGTAGTGCCAAGGGGAGAAAAAGGAGCATGTTCAGTTCAAGTATGAAGACGTGGAACCCAATGAAAGATGGATGCAGTTCAGTCTGACATTTCTCAGGCTTTCCTGGAGTGGGAGCTGACCTTTGACCTCAAGATTTAGCCAAATGAGTATCACAACAGCCAAGGAAATTGAAGTTGGTGATGGCCAGAAAGATGTGATCATGTTGGTTCTTCTTCCTCACCTGGAATCTTGCCGGGAGATTCAGTCCAGCTAGCCCATGAATTGGAGAAAGAGTTGAACCCCGAGCTTGTTGCCTTTGTTGCTGAGAGGAAAAGCCTGCCTAAGCCAACATGAAAAAGCTGCACAAAATAATAAGCAAAAGCATCCCAGAGCTGTATCCTGACACCCATATATGACACAAGTCTTGAGATTTGGTCTTCCCAAGTGAAATCATGGGCCAGGGGCTGGCTGATGAGCTCACTTGGGAGAGTGTGGTGCTGGTAACACCAAGGTCATGGGTTCGGATCCCCATACCAGCAAGCCACCAAACACACACACACATATACACACACACACATATACACACACATACACAAAGAAATTGTGGGCCAGAGAATGTATGTGATACTGGACAGCAGTGAACTTATAAAGGTCTCCCTCACTGAATAGTGAGGATTATGAGAAGGGGAGAGGCAGGCAAGAGAGGGCACCATCTTATAATGGATGCTTACTCTCTAGGTTTCCTAGGGCTGCCATAAAAAAGTACCACAAAGTAGGTGGCTTGAAAGAACAGAAATGTATTATTGTCTTACAGTTCTAGAGGCTAGAAGTCCAAACTCAAGGTATGAGCAGCCCATGATCCTTCTGAGACCCTGGGTAGAGCCCTTCCTTGCCTCTTCCTGGCATCCGGTGGTGCCATCCATCCTTGATGTTCCTTGGCATGCAATTGCATCTCTCCAATCTCTGCCTCCATCGTCACGTGGCGTCCTCCTCTCTAGTGTCTGTGTCTTCATATGGCATTTTCTTTCCTGTGTGTCCTTCTCTCCTCTGCAGTATGACCTTGTCTTAACTAATTCCATCTGCAATGACTCTATATCCGATCTGAGGAACTGAGGGTTAGGACTTCAACCTATCTTTTGGGGGTATATCATTCAACCCATATCACCTACCAAGTCACCATCAGCATCACCACGTAAGTTTCTAGTGCAAGCACATTCCTTTCTTGATTATTTTACTGCCCTTAAACATATTTCTTTAATTCCTTGATAAAACAACCATAGCCTTAAAACACACACACACACACACACACACACACACACACACACACACACATGCCCGCCTCATTACACTTTGGATTTAGCAGCCCTGAAATAAATTACTCTTCAAGGTGCATCCCACCCTCTTGTGTCCTTCCTCTTCTCTGTTTCCTCTGTGCAGGTACATTCATGAGCTCATCTCAGTACTCTGGGTTCTTCGAGTACAGCCCACTCGTCTTCCTTATGGAAACCATTTGTGATTACATATTCAGATTTGTATTTGGGGGAACTCTTTCCTCTTGAGCAGTTTCTTCCTTTTAGTATAACAAACCATGGAGTCCTTCCTATCTTGTCTCTGAACATTGTTCTAATCAATTCTGAAAATGCGAGTATTTCTTTTACTCTTCATTGCTCTTGACTTTCTACTATGTTTTGAGAATTTTCTATTTTACCATGTTTTATCAATCTATTCTAGTTTGGAATGGGAGCAAAACTTTACTACCCCTTGACTTCCATTTTAATTCTTCCTCTTCTTCAGTGTAAGTGAAATTTTGTAGCTTTGAAGAATTTTTTTCAATTACGATGGCGTAATCAGAAATAGTGTCTTTCACTTTACAGTCTTCCATCTTCCATTATTCTTTCCTCCATCTAGAGCAGAAAGGAGAGACGACGTGTGGGAGAATCTGCAGTGTCTCCCTAGGAAATCCAAGACATCAGGATAGTCCTCAGGAGTCTGAAAAA